TAAATTAATTATTATCCAACTTAATAAAAAATATGGTGATATTTTTTTAAGTATTAAAACTAACATTTTACGTTAAATATCATATGATTTGATATAAAATTTATTTTATATCTTCTTCAACTACTCACTCGCACACAAAATTTGTTTATTGAGTAACCGTAACAATGATCACTATGTGAGTTTCTTGAGCATTTTTAACCACAAAAAGCAATGATAACGTTATCATTATAATCTATTGATGGTTCTGAACGTTTTTTCTCGATTGAATTGAAACATTTAGACTTTTAATATGTGATTAAAGTTAATGTTCTATATCTATATATTTTTTTAAACTAAAACTATAGTCGTTGTAGAAGATTTCAATTATTGTAATGCATAAATGTATTTATTAGATTGTTATTGTTGAACTTTCAAAAGAACCCAAGACAGAAGACAAACAACCAAACGAACCTAAAAAGACACAAGAGGAAAAAAAGGCAAAAGAAAAAAAAAAAAAAAAAAAAAGAAGGAAGAAATCATTCGTCTACTACGATGTAATCAACCTTTAAAAATCTCACAAAATAGTTATTAGTAAAGACAAAATAAATACTCTTAAAAAAAACAAACAAAAATTTACATCAATTATAATAATAACTAACTTAAATTTTGATACTTTGACGTCGGTAGTTATTTTAAAGGAAATTTACCTCTTTTACATTAACATAAAAATAAATTGATGATAAAAATTTAATTTAAAAGAAAACAAGTAATTAAAATTATTAAAAATTCAATTAATACAATTGAGAATTAATGGATGAATCTTAAAAGGAATCAAACCCAGTTCAAAACCTAAGTCTTGAAGTTGGTTTACCTTTTAATTAAACAAAATATTATAATTTCTTAATGGTGCAACCCTAATTCTAGAAAAATAGATTATAGTCACAAATTCAAAAGGAAATAACATTCATAAAAAGAAAAATTAAGCAATTGTGAAAAGAAGATGAAACCTTTATCAACCTTCTAACCTCTAAATAGGGTGTGATCATGTGATATAAAGTTTTAAAAGAAGTGATGGTAGAGAAAATGCATTAGAGATTAACCCAGAAAGGTGTAATTATGCCAAAATATAATTATGGGAAATACACTCAAAGAATACATGTTAAGACACTATTGTTGTATTAAATTATCACATACTTTTTCTTAAAAAAAAAAAACTTATTTATAAGATAATATTTCCTATCGTTTTTCCAAATGTTTACATGTTTTCAATCATTAAGAAAATCAAATCATCCAACTTATTTTTCAAACTTAAATTACTTATGTAGTAACTCCATAAAATAAAAAGTACACTAAAAACATAACAATCTCTTCAACAAAGAAATTGATAATTATGCATCAATTAATCCCAAATCCACAATGAAATATATGTAGATGGGTGGGTAGACGAGTTGAATAACAAATTCATTTTTTAAAAAATATGATCCTAAAATCAAATATAACTCGTGAAATTGCCCAATTTAATGGATTTAATATATTAGTTCTCGAATTTCCCTGCATATTTTATTGAGAATTTTTGTAGAAAATCTTGATTTTTGGATGTTTGATATTTATTAATACAAAATAAATAAATAATTACGTATTTTAATGATAATTATACATAAATCATTATTAAAAAAATGTTATAATAATTTTAAAATTATCTTTAATCTTTTAATGGTATAATGGTTATAAACTGTTACCAAACATTTTAATGATAATTATATTTATAATTATTATAGTAGGTTTAATCTTTTAATGAAAATCTTTAAATTATTATATATGATGATATGTTATTAAAATTTTTAATTTTATTATTAAGTTAATTCATCTTTTCATCCCAACTTTTTTTTCCTTCTTTTTTTTATTTCAATTCAATTTTTCTCTTTTTTTTTATTTCAATTCAATTTTTCTCTCTTTTTTAAAGTGTTTTTCTTCATTACAAATATCTCCAACAAACTCAAGGTTCTCATAAGGAAAAACAACATGAAAGATAATATTTTGATGAGGTAGAGAATAATATTTTGCTAAGACAGAGTAGAGGATAATATTTCATTGAAACAGAAATAAAAGATAATGTTTTATTGAACACATTGAAATTAAAAAAAAAATAATAATGAAAAAGTTGTGAAAGCTTTCAAATTCATTACAATAAAAAAAAAAGTGAGTAAGGGAAACTTCTGTTGCAGAAAAACAACATTAAATAAATTATGTTATCGTAAAATTTTTAGATTTATTATCCAATTTATCTATTTGTTATAATAGAACTTACTATAACAAAATAAAATGAAATTTTAATATATTGACAATATAATCATCTTGTTATAAATAATTTATAATGATAATTTAAAATTGTTATTAATTTAACATTCGTATAAATAATTTATTATGATAATTTAAAATTGTCATTAATTTATTATTTTTAATGATTATAATAATAATAATTCTATTATAATTTTTGTTAAGGTATTATTTATAATAATGGATATAAATGTTTGATATATATATATATATATATATATATATATATATATATATATTAGTTATTAATGTGAACAACACGGTTTATTTAATTTGATAGATTTTAACTTGAAATGAAAGAAAAAAATTTTTTTTTATTTGAGAGACTTTATTTAATTTATATATATATATATATATATATATATATATATATATATATATATATATATATTAAATATTACAATTCGTTTATCCACGAATTGGACTTATTCAATCCGTTCATAATGCAAACTTCACGACCAAACTTTAATAGAACCATATCCATTTGTTTATTCACCCAAACGACATGTAACCTAATTTGTTAAAATAAAATAAAAAATTGAAATACAAGTCATCACTCGTACAAATAATTCATTTCAAAAATATATTTCCACGAGTCTGCAAATTAAAATCTGAATTATGTAATAAAATAAAGAATAATATCTGAGTTTGTTGAAGAATGAAATTAACATATATCAAAATTAGATATAGCATCTTCATAGAGACAAGTCTTTTCATAATTGGAATACGTTTTAATGCAGGGAAAGGATTGAAAATTATTTTGCACCTTAACCATAAGTCATGGAAACATTGCAGCGAAATAAATGGCAGACTCATTTACTAGAAGATGATAATGTGGACAAGAACTTGCGTACCTGAATTGTTTTCTATTCTTTCTTTCTTTTTTCAAAATAATAATAAAAACAATAAATAGGTTAATTTGCATTAATTAGGGTTATACCCAATCTAACAACATTGATTGGATGTTATACTCTAAAGTGTCCTGAAATTTAAGTCTTGTGACCTAATTGTGTAGTCATCTCATTACTTGAAAAATGTGAACGATCTATTTGTTCCTTCAAATTATGTACTTGAAATTGTACCAAAAAATTATGAATCTTAAATCAAGGATGTGTTTCCTATTAAAGAACAATCTTCCTCAATTTATGAGCTAAGAATTGGTGGAAAATTTTCGGCCTTGAGAATTTGCCGACAGACTAAGATTAAAAAAAAACATTATATGCTAGTTTGTCAACGCACTTTAGCTATACACTACACTACGCTGGTCATTATCAATGATGCATTCACATAACCCCTATATTTTGATAACTACTTTGAGGTAGGTTTTCTTTGAAGTAACGACCACAACCACAACTATTGCTAAATCTAGTTGTTGAGATTTCGTTGTTTCCTTTTTGGATCAGCAGAAGACCAAGAGCAGATAAAAAGAGTGTACAAAATTACATAGAAATTTCTGAGGTTGCTGATATTGCAGACACTACAATGTAGTTTCAGAATTAAAATGTGATCATGACAGTGTGTGTGCTTCACCTTGATATTCTGAAGCTCAAAAATATTCAAACATGCAGAGTGGAAAATTGGTTTTGGTGGTTACAAGTTCCACTCAAGCTGCTAAATGTTGACCCGTTAATTGTAAACCCCCTCTGCATGTGACAAATTCAAGTCTTGCAAGAAGAATCAGTTTCTAAAATCCAAATGCTTTACTTTGCTGATTGGAGTCTTTAGAGTCTTGAAATATTAAATTACAATCACTTACCGACAATTGTGGCACTCTATGGCATATGACAGATTCAAAGTTGACCACCCTTTAGATTATAAATCCTCTATAGCTTAATATAACAAGTTCAAGTCATGCAAGGAGAATCAGTTTCTAAAATCTGATGTTTTACTTTGTCGTTAGGTATCTTGGATATGTCTTGTGATTAAATTACAATCTATGACCTCCAATTGTGGCACTAAGCTGCATAGGGAGCATGTCAAACTACTTCTACAACTGACATTCATAGTTGAATCTCACTTTTGTATCTGACTAAACTGCTTATAACATCATTATAATAGTAACAAGTTAACAACCTTGAATGGTATGAAGAAGAAATTGTATGTAACAGTGAGAGAATACCATTAGAAAGTTATCGTATTCGTTGAGAAGTTATCCTTTCCCATCACATTTCCCAAAGAGAACACATAATGAGACATTAGTTGTCCATGTTTTTTCAATGCAATATATACCTTGTCCGAATGTTCAATGGTGATGTTTTGTGATTCGGTGTGGTGAACCATGCCCACTATGTGGCCTTGTCAAGGGTAACCAAATCAATGTCATCAAGTAAACTATAACAATGTCATTCCTCCTCCATGTTATTCCATCCAAGTGGTACGTCAATTTACAAGTTTATACCAAACAGGTATTCACTTGAAAAGGAAGTTCCCTCCCTTGGAAGAAATTAAACGGAAAAAACCCACACCTTAACTTTAACATATTCCCCCTATGGTTACCCCATTTGTGATAAGTTTTTGTCATCATGTGTAACTCCCCAATCAACTAACTTATCAAATTTTTGGTACAGTAGGGCCTGGAACCCCTTTATATATCGAACTCTGTAGCCATACTCTTTCATAACCATCAACTAACCTAAAACCTTTTGCCCCACCCTGCATTTTAGCAGAGTCATTCTGTTCCTACAATGCCATCATCACTATCCTCTTTCCTCCATATGGTTCCTCTTCTCTCCCTTCTTGTACTCTCATGTATGATTTGTTCTGTTTGTTCTCAGGGACCACCTTCACCTGGTTACTACCCCAGTTCCAAAATTAGTCCTATTAGCTTTAATCAAGGGTTTAGAAACCTTTGGGGACCTCAGCATCAGAGAATAGACCAAGACACATTGACAATATGGCTAGACACTAGCACAGGTATGTGAATTGTCTCACTCTCACATATGACTCCTGATTTCTCTTAAATTCACAACCTGAGGTTCTTGGTCATTTGGTAACACTCCATCAGTCCATTCTCACTGCTACTAAATTAGAGCATACGCTTACCAAGATATTTTTTTGCAACACAGGGAGTGGATTCAAGTCACTTCACTCTTATAAATCTGGATACTTTAGTGCTGCAATTAAGCTTCAACCCGGTTACACTGCGGGAGTCATTACATCTCTCTACGTGAGAATTACTCTACAACTTCTGCTAATGTTGAAAAGTGAATCTCTTTTCAAGTGCAAATTTTAATCTCTTTCTCTAAACTCTTTGAGATTGCAGCTTTCAAATAACCAAGACCACCCCGGAAACCATGATGAAATTGACATAGAGTTCCTTGGTACCACGCCAGATAAGCCATATGTGTTGCAGACAAATGTATACATCAGAGGAAGTGGAGATGGGAATATTATAGGAAGAGAGATGAGGTTTCATCTCTGGTTTGACCCAACACAGGATTTTCACAACTATGCCATTCTATGGAAACCCACTGAATTAATGTAATGTTTCATGCACTCTCATACTCTTAACTTTGTCCGATTTGAATTTATATGTCCACATGTCCATCAATTTACAATTTTGTTGTATTACTTTTAAAATAACTACTAAAAAAATCAATGGTGTAAAAACACTTTTTTTTTTTTCACATTTATACACAGACCATTGAAAGTAGTCAAAGTTAAAGCATCATTTCAAGATTTGTGTCAATTATGCTTTTGTGTGTGGCCAAAGTACTATGAAGTCAAAATTGCTCACGCTTCCTTCCAATTATTAAAGTTCAAAAGGCAATTTCATTTCACAATCATACTATGATCCCCTGACAAATAATATCCTTTCATAAGATTATATAACAGAGATAAATAATTGATGCAGCACTTTCATTCATAGCGCTTTGTTAGATTATGACTAGGACTTTTTTCACACACGCTAGATTCTCAAGTGATTGTGATACAAAATCTTGCTTGTGGAATGAATGTGGTTATTGCAATATGTTGCATTATTGTTGACTAATTTGTCTATAATGGAAATAATACATGTAGATTTTTTGTGGATGATGTCCCAATAAGAAGGTATCCAAGGAAAAGTGAGGCCACATACCCTTCAAGGCCAATGTATGTGTATGGGTCAATATGGGATGCATCTTCTTGGGCAACAGAGGGTGGAAAATACAAAGCTGATTATAGATACCAACCCTTCATTGGTAGGTACAGAAACTTCAGACTTGAAGGTTGCACTAGTGAAAGTTCTCCCTCATGCCATCCACCTTCTGCATCTCCATCTGGGTTTGGAAGTCTGAGCCCTCAGCAGTTTAGGGCAATGCAATGGGTCCAAAACAACTACATGGTGTACAACTACTGCCATGACCCTAGGAGAGACCACAATCTTATCCCAGAATGTTGAGGTCAAGTTGGTGTGCCTGAATTCTAGGTTACCCTCTTTATATATACTTGAAAATTTCAATTGTAAAATGGTGCTTGGGGTGGTTTTTGTGATGGTCCCACTTGCTAAGTGTAATTGCAAGAGTATTTGAACGTCCAAGCCACTCCAATCATTGGAATGTTTTTGTTGTGTTCTGTCACTATGTTGTACTGTGGTTTTGGGTCCTATGTTGCTGTTCAAATAAACTGATACGAATGCTTTCCTGATACGTGTATGGGTATGAAAAGTGACATTGAGAGAAAGGAGATTCTCCCTTACAAGCAAACCCTCTGAAATAACCTTTCTCGTGGACTTTGGTGGCTCACACTGGACCACCAAAATGTTATATCTTCATCATTGTTCCTTCCCTTTGTCATCACACCAGATAAAGAGTATATTTCATAAATTCATAAAAATATATTTGTAGAAATATATTAATAAACAAATTTTAAATCATTTTTATGAATTAATTCATGTATAAATTAAATATATTGTTTGGCATCTTAATTTTTTCAAAATACTTTCTTAATTTCAGGAATAGAAAAACTATAACTTCAAAAAATAAAAACTTTTTTTTTGTCCTATTATCTTACTTTATAAATATTTTTTAGAAGGGTCATCGAAACAAACCCAAATTGTAGTGTGGTATTGTTGCTGGGTCATGCGAAGGCCCTGATAATGAATTTGTGTAATAAGATGATGAATGAGATAACAGAATGGGCCACACCATGATTCAGTGTCCCAAACACTGCTAAAAGTTTGACAGATGAGTTTCTTTGCTAATTGCTAAGGTATCAATTCGTGCCTTCTGTCAAATAATAATTAAAAAGAAAAATTTGCAATTAATAATTAAAGGAGAGATTTTCAAATATTTACCTCTTCTATATGTTACAAATTATAAATATTCTTAATACACATCATTTTAATTCACTTTTTATGTGAAGGAAATTTTTCTCTTCCCAATTCTTGTTCTCACTGATAATTATTTATTCTATTTTATATAACTTTGTTTTATTTTATCATTGGAAGTCCCAAATATTATTAGTAAAATAAATAGAGTTAATTGAGGGTCATGACGATGATAAGCACGAATGACTAGCTTTCGAATGAGAACCAAAAATCAAGCTTTTTGTTTTTAATCCAGATAAGGATAAGAATATTTTTCAGCCTATAAACATTAGTGAGAGTGTGTTTATTGCTTTATTTAAGATTTATGAGCCATTTTCTGAAAACGAATACTTTCTTTTTCTTACCCATAAAGATTTTTCTTTTTTGCATTTACATTTCCGTGTATGAATCTATCGAGTAGAAATATTACCACCCTGGGCAAATGATGAATGGTAGTGTCAGCTCATGATACTTATTTTTAGTACATATGAAAATAATATTATGTATAGTTGGGTTTTTCCTCTAAAGATAATGAAAAAGGATACATATGCAAGGAAAAAAACATCTTCTCTTCTATCAATTTTTACAAATATTTTACTTAGACTTTGTAAAAACTTAAGCAACTTAAACTTACGAGTGATTTATTGCGGAAAAATTTTAAAATTTTATTAATTATATTCAAATTTTATTTTCACAAAATCTTTTTATTTTTACTTTTTTTTCTAATTTTTCTTAATTTTTTTTATGCTATTCCTACGGATAGTAACGTGGATAGACTTACTCAATTTTACTCCATCCCACCTTTGACTTATAAAAAGGGGAGTGGGATGGATTAACCCGTATATGATTTGCGGGTTGAATACCTTTATTTGTAGTTTAAAAAAAATTAAGGATTTAGATTTAGAAATAGTGTAATATAAGTTATTGAAGTTTTATTATATATATATATATATATATATATATATATATATATATATATAATACCCTACATTTTAATGTATTAAGGTAAAATAAATGTTTTGAATGGTGTAATAACCCAATTTTTCATTGGTTATACCCTTTTATATAATTGTTTTTAAAATTGTTACTGGTGACCATGTCAGATTATTGGGAAATGTACGAACAACCTTTTAATAAATAGTTAGCTAAGTAAAAGAAGTATTTTCTAATTTCTAACTTTTAAATATCATATTTTTAATGTTAAAATGATTGTTTCTATTTTATTAATTAATTGTACTTGAATATTCATTATTATTTGACTAATGGGGAATTTGAATTTTTAATATTTATATTTATGGTGAAAGGTACGATTTTAAATGATAAATTATAATGTGTGAAATAGTACGAGAGATGATCATATATCTCATATTATATATGATTAGTTATAATTATGATGATTTGATATTATTCCGTCAAGGAACAAGAATTTTTCGACCTATGTGTTGTTTGTTTCGAAACTCTAATTCATTACAATTTTATTTTTAAAAGGTATCTCAATAAATTAAAAAAAGAAGGTGTATATAAACAACTTTTAATCTTAATTCCTAAGCGATGTGAAACTTATGAATTATCATAGTGGACATAAGTTCGGAATATTCTTATTTATAAAAAGAACATTGGTATCTACCATGAGACCGAGAGTAAAATCTTGCTTCAATTTTATTCTTTAGTTCTTGACTAGAGGATTATGGTCTAACATGTTTATAAGTCTTATATCATTTAAGAGTCGAGATTAAGACTTATTTATATGCATCATCTCTCAATTTATCGATGCGTCTTTGAAGAATAAAACTATGATGAACTATATTTTAAAAATAAACAAAATCTCGGGCGTGATAATTGATCTTGACAATATTATCATAACAAATATAAAGTTAAGATACTCTCATTTTTTTCAGACAAATCATGTCATATATTATAGAAAATATAAATAATGTATTCTTGATTAATATGTATCAAAAATAAATTTGGAATTCATTAATATTAATATATCTAACTCGACTAATAAAATGAAATTAAATAGATAGATGAAGAATGTTATGGGTTTAAAATGTTTTTTTATGATTTAGTTTAAGAAAAAAAAACTATGACTTCAAAAATTAACGTTTTGAATTATTAACTTATTATAGATTTTGTTTTTGTATTGTTTGATGCAGTTGGTAGATCTTATAAGGAATTGTTATTTAAGTAGTTTTTATATATTTTTATAAATTTTTTAATATTTTCTAATCATTCTAATTTTAAACACCTGACTTCAATTTTAATATATTTTAATATAATTTTTAATTAAGAGTTTGTTTAGTTATAAGGAAAATGAAAAAGTAAAGTAAGTAACACAAGAAAATAAGTGAAAAATATATACAAATAAAATGATAAGGAAAAATATTATATTTTATTATAATTAATATGTTTTATTTTTTACGAGAAAAATAGAAAAATATGTAAGATAAACATTATTTTAACAAATTACTTTATCGCTAATAAATGATTATTCATTTTTATATTTATAGTTTTATTTTAAATATGTATTAGTTTTTAATTATGTTAATTTAATAAAATAGGATAAATATAAAATTTATTATAAATTCAAATTAATAATTTACTATATTTTATATTATTTTTTCATTATTTTAACTCAAATGCTTAAAAGTATAATTTTATAACAATAATATATATATATATATATATATATATATATATATATATATCAAAATGAATATTATTGTAAAAGATCTTAATTTAAAAATTATTTTATTCATAAAAAAATAATTAATAATTATAGGAATAATTTTATAATTATATAATTAATTAATTTAAAGCTTTATTTATTAATTTAAAATGATAACTTTTCTTTCTTTTATTACTTTCGTATTAAACGAGGAACTATATTTTTTTTCCTTTGTTACCATAAATGATTTCTCTAACTAACTATACATTAAAGATAAGTTATTAATTAATGTGAGAAACCATACTTTGGTGAGAGATTTTTCAACATGCCTATCACTGTCCATTACCTAAAATAAAGATAACATTACTAATAAAATTTGTGAACCAAATTGTATAGCCAATAACTCCACTCTTTTTTATTAGTCAGAAACAGCCATACATCATATGACTAATTCTTCATCAATAAATTGATTATTTACTAATATTTCTCTTAATATATGTACAATTTTTTAATTACAATACAGGAAAACGCGTTTTTATAATATCATGAATTACGAACAATGCTAAACTTTTTGGGCCAGAAGTCCAGAAGCAAAAAGGAGAAATTGAACATGAACAGACCCAGAATCGAAACAAACAAAAGTATTTATGAAATTAAATAATGTTTAAATTGGTTATATTTAAATTGTGAAAGAGATTTAATTTTTTTCGAGTTTTGAAATTGAAAACTTTGGTTTCACTTTTGGCCCTGGTATGGCGTGGCATGGCATGAGTTGGATTCTCTGATTTCTGAGTGCTTGCTTGCGTTGATCTTGACAACCCTTTAAAACATCCGTGACCACTCTGACGGCCACCATTAACTTGCAACAATTTGAAATAAAAAGATTAAAACCACTATAAAAGTTCTGACACCTCTGACACACCCTCTTCCTCCTCCATCCATCTCCATTCTCATTAATCATTTCACTGACAATCACCATCATCTATTCATCCCTTGACCCTATTTTCAGCTTATTTTTTTCATCTTTTTGTTACCAAACACACACTACACATCCTTTAGTTTACTCACTTTCCAGTTAAAAATTCAACAAAATAAAAGATATAAAAATAAACAAAACACACCAGAAGTTGAAAAATGTGTATTTCGAATTATAAATTTATTTACAGCAAAAATGATTTTACAAAATTTACCCTCCAAGATATTTTTCATCCTTCGAATCAATTCTTGCCATGTCATCATCATAAACCACGTCACCATTAATAAATCTCGAAGAAAGTCGTAAACCTAATCTTCCACTTTGGGCCCCGGCATGAGTCATTAAATTCCATCACTGAAGAAATTCCAGCTGTCATCTGCTAAATATTACTTTTTATTATTTATTTATTTATTTATTATATCATCTTCCATGCAGCGTGTTTTGTTTGTGTGTAATGTCATGAGCACGGGTGAAGAAGGTACAAGTAACCATCTTGGCGCCGAGTTTAGACCTCTTACGTGTCAAAATCTAATTGGCGTGAAACCCTTGAACCCCTATAGGACCTATCAATCTTTTCGCTCAAAGCACGTAGCACCTGCCACGTGGCATCCCCTTCCTCAACCTGGCTGTTAAAAAGTAGTGCCCTCCTTGTCGCTGGGTCCCACAGCTTCTTTTGAATCGTGCTCAGGTTCGTCGCCGCCACGCGCTCGAGTATCTCCGCCAGCCTCCCCACGTCACTCTCCGCCACCGTAATCGATATCTCCGACCACTTCACGGCGGAGAGAAACGGCAACCGGATACCGTCCGCTATAACTACTGGCACGCAACCCAATGCAACGGACTCTACCAGCCTCGGACTCCACGGGGCCCACCCCAATGGGCACAGACAAAACACCGAACGTGCAATCTCCGACTGGTAACCGGCAAACCTGTGTCTCTGCAGGTAAAACCTCCGGTCACCGTTGAACTTTCGCCATATCATAGTCCTCACTTTCCTTCAAGGTGAAAACAGAGAATTTATCAATAAATATGCAAATAATAAAAAATGTTACTTAACTTTACATTATGAGCTTATTATGAAAAATAGCAAATTTACTTTAAAATAGTTTTTAAATATTAAAATGATAACTTTTTATTAACTAAAAATGTTAAATTCCACGAGCAAGATTGAAATTTCAATTAATTTTAAATTTTAATTAAAAAATATAGTAAAATATTAAAATTACCAGATTGTAGTGAATACAATTTTTTTTTTACTATTTAATTAATTACTTATTTAATCAGAGAGAAGAAATGGAGATAGTTATTACTTGCTGTAAAATCGTCCACTAACGTTCTTGGGATGAAGTTCCATCTTCCCTCGGAAGAAAACCCAAATATCTCGCCGTCCGTTCACCGCAGAGTTTTCCATCGTCTCCCGTACGGTTCCCGGCGAAACGTACGGCGGAATCACTACGTGCTCAACCTTCTGGCAAGGGTGATCGTACACAACGCCAAACGTCTGCAACACGATCGAGTTTCTCATAATTTCTGGCACGCCATCAGCCATCGCCACGTCCTCCTTCGCAAAACCAAACAAAAGAAATCATTCTTCGAAATCAACGAACGAAACCGTTTAGAGACAAGATAACAACACAAAAAAAAAAGTTTGAACATACCAGCGTGTGGAAACACGAGCCGAAATCATGCGAGGCGACAAAGACATGGTCGGAGCCCCTGCTCCGGTTCCAGAAGGGGTACTCCGAGGAAAGGAGGTTGACCGCAGACGCGATGAGGGAGCGCGCGTGACCAATCGCGGGGAAGCCGTTGACGGTGCTGAAGTTGCAAGAGACGTAAACGGGGACGAAGAAAAAGTCAGCTTCGTAAGGGTCAAACGTGCGCACCTCGCTGGTCAACAAAGCCCTGTGAATGGCAACCTCTGACGCAAACAAATGTTTGCTGCACCTCTCGTTCGATAACCAATCCGTGTTGTACTTCGGAGGAAGATCGTACACAAACACCTTCAAGTTTTTCAGGGACCCTTATAGCCAAGAAGACAAAATATCAACACGAAATTTTCAGATAATACTAAATTTCTAATCTTTAACTTCAAAAAACAATACTTTTCTTCCCTGAAAGATACACGTATGTTTTGTTTACTATACCTAGAGAGTTTAAAGATTGCGGAGGAGCTGTGTTGTTTGATTCAATAAGGGTTCTCGAGACATGGGTTGTTTTGTCGTGAGATGGTTGTTTGGTGTGGTTGTTGTTGCTGATGAGGTAGGAAGTAAAGAAATAAAGGGAAAGAGAAAGCCAGAGGACCCATTTGTAGTATTTGTGAAAGCAGTTTTTTTCTTGCTGGTGATGAGGCCTGCCATGTTTGTGAAGGAGCTTCATCTTAACATAGTACCCCCTGCTATTTGGGGGAGTTTTGTGCAGAGCCATTTCATTTAAATTCAGAGGGAAAGAAAAAACAAGCCAGGTGCGGAGAGGATCAAGGTGGTGGTTGAGAGAGTGCTATCTTGTTCTGGTGTGAGAAGAAGTGGAGACGAAGAAACAGTGACAGGAGGAGAAACCAAACGGGGGAGTTTGTTTTGTTTGTGTTGTTAGGACTTCGTTTTTGCCTAAAGAATAAACAAAAGGGGGTTTTCAATTTTTTTATTCGGGAGAATTGTTGGTGGGATTAAACTATTGCGTTCAAATAAAACATGGTCATGGGCTTTGTTATTTTCTTACAGGGACTTGTGTGTTCCTAATTTCGATTATTCCCTAATTATTGAGGGAACAAAGAGTGTGTGCGAGAGAAAGAGATGGTTTGTTATGTCACATGGTGAAAGGGTGAAAGGTAGCAATGGATCAGAAATGAGGTTGGCCACGGACTTGTTTATCATGCAGCTTTTCAGACCTCTTTCTCAGTACCTTTTAACTTTGTTGTCTCAAATTCACCCCGAAAGATATTCAAATAAATTTCAATGAAACAAGGTAAATACTAAATGCCTTTAAAGCTTGAATTAATTACAGCAAGAGTTTTCTCGTTAAAACTGGTTTAATACTATCTACGTTAACATTAACTGCAATTTGATAACGCTGTTGAGTCGAGTTGTTGTGAGTGGTTATAGGTACAACCAATTTTTGTAGCTTTGCACAGAAGATAAGGTTGTCTTAAACATGCTCTATAATCAAATATCAAATTAAGTAAAAACATGTAGATGAAGGTGACAATCCCTGTCTCACCATCATTCTTCAATGTGCATACACCCAATAGGTAATGTCCAACCGATTCAACCCTCTCTATCATATTTGATGCAAATGCAATTATGCAAGACAGGTGCTAATATATATATATATATATATATATATATATATATATATATATATATATATATATATATATATATATATATATATATATATATATATATATATATATATATATATATATATATATATATATATATATATATATATATCTTTAGAAAAATAGATAAGAAATAATTATCACTGTATTGGTCTGACCCATATTGAACTCTAGGTTGTAACTTGTAAGCACGTGTGTTCCATGCAAAGCAAGAAATTCAGAAAAAGTAAGATGGGATGATGCAAAGCACAATTTATTAGCATAATTGTTCTCTTATAATAAATACTATTTTTTTTATTGTGTACAGTTAAGATGAATTCTTTTCTTTTCTTTATTCTACAATATTACTAGACTATATATATATATATATATATATATATATATATATAAATGTTTGTAATCTTTTTAGAATGAAAAATTCTTAATAAAACAGATTAATTGTACTATACGTATATGAATAATAAGATGATATCAGATGTTATTTTTTTATTTTTTTTTTGTTCTTATAGCATCCAAATCCTATATTGACTTTCACACTCTTCTTTCTTCCTTCCAATAAAGATCTTACTTTTGTTCTTGTCTCTACCTTATTGGATGACAAGAATTATCACGTCTGGACCTCCATTATGAAACTTGTGCTCAAATCTAAGAATAAATTGAAATTCATTGATGACATTCTCTCCAAACCACTATCAACCAACCTTCTTCACGAATCTTGGGATCGTTGCTACAAATGTTTATTTCTTAGATCCAACGATCGGTGTACGAAATCATTCTTAAATTCATTCTCTGGATCTAGCATGTTTTCGACGTTTGGTAAGATTTGTACTATCATTTTCATTAAGGAGATATTTTTCATATTGCAGATTTAGAGGAAAATATATACAAACTACACCAAGGTACTCTCTTTATAATTGAATTTTACACAGAGTTACGTATTTCTTGGGAGAAAATAAATAGTTTTCGTCCATTTGTTAACTGCACATATACTATCAAATGTTCTTGTGATGTTCTTGATTCTACCCGATGTTATAAGCAGCAAGATTATGTCATTCGATTTCTAAAAGGCCTCAATGATCAATATGTCTTTGTATGATCTCAGATCATGTTAATCTATCATCTTCCCAATATTACCAAAGTTTTTAACATGGTTATCCAGCAAGAACGTCAATTATATTTTATTCTTAGTTCTTCTGAAATTGTTCTTGATTCACAAGTCCTAATTGCTACTACTTCTCCGAATTTGTAGTCTAAGAATAATGATGTTTCTAACTCGAGTCCTTTTTATAAAAGACAAGGCAGAGATCATTCCATTAAGGGGTCGTGACGAAAATAATGGAGGGAGAAATTCTCATAGTAATAAATTTTATACTTATTGTGAATGCACAAATCACACAATGAATACATGTTATTTCAAACATGGTTTTCCACCAGGATATAAAAATCGCATAGCCAATAACTTCGCCTCTAGTGCTTTTCCATCTGACCCTATTATTACCAACGTCTCTAATCTTCACGAAATCTTACGACCAGTGCCTAAATTTACTAAAAATCAGTATCATGACATTCTAACTCTTTTGCAACAATCCAAATATTTTGCGCATACAACAACTTTGATTAGTTCTTCTTCCACTCTTCCTAAATTCTGTTCTTCCTGGTAAAACATCTCCTCAGTGACTTCTAGGTACAAGTGTCACTGATCATAACATTTTTTTATTTTCATAGTTGTCACTCATAAATCTATTTCACCTACTTTCATTACTTTGTCAAATTCTGTCCAAGTTTCCACTTCTATATATGGTACTGTTATGTTGTTAGATTTCCTAATTCTTCATGATGTTCTTTTCGTTCCCAATTTTCATGTAAATCTTTGTTCAAAAATTGATCCAAAGCTTGCACTGTCATCTCCTTTTTTAATCTAACTCTTGTGTTATTTTGCAGCAAACCTCCCAGAGAATAATTGGTTCGGCTAGCTTGCACCAAAGATTGTATGTGTTAAATCTGCTCACTCTTATCACAACCATCATTCTATTTCTAATCATACCACTACTACCAAACCCAAAGATGCTTCTTTTTTGCATCATAGATTAGTTCATTTCTCTAACTCTATTTTCGTATTATTTCTAATAATATTATTTTATCCCTTACTCTGTAAATCTCTCTCTTTGTGATATTTATTATTTTGCTAAACAAAACAAATTGTCTCATCATGGTAGTGAAACTCAGTCATATAAAATTTTTGACATTATTTATGGAGACATATGAGGATCATATTCTGCACCTTCTAATTGCACTTACAAATATTTTCTCATTTTAGTTAATGATCACTCACGTTTTACCTGGATTAAATTTATAAAATCCAAATTTGAAACCTGCACGCATTTTATACATTTCATTTCATTGATTAAAACTCAATTTTATACTAAACTCAAATATTTTCAAAGCGACAATAAAGTATAATTTTTATTAATTGATTGATTTTTTTCATCTAAAGGTATTCTTCATCAAAGAACTTGTGTTGAAACTCCTCAACAAAATAATGTTATTGAACGCAAACATCAACATCTTTTAAATGTAGCTCGGGCATTATTTTACCCAGTTCAACTATTTCACATCTTTTAAACTTATGTTGTTTAACAAGTTGTTCATATCATTAATAGACTGCCTACTCCTTTATTGCATTTTAAATATCCTTATGCAGTGTTATATGATAAACCATCTAGCATGATCCATTTAAAGGTTTTTTGTTATCTTGCTTATATCATTACGCTTCAAAATCACATAACTAAATTTCAGCCCCGCGCTAGTAAAGCTGTTTTCTTAGGATATAAGGAAGGTACTAAAGACTATGTTCTATATAATTTCCACACCCATCAAATTTTTCTTTTAAGAAATATTATTCTTTATGAAATTGTGTTTCCTTTTCATTCCTCCACCACTCCCTTCTCAACTTCTTCTATTTTTTCTCTATTATTCGATATATCCTCTCTTACAAATACATTATCCTTACCCGAGCCTATTCATCACCCTTCTACTACAAACATTCCACCTATATCCTCTCCTGCAAATACCTCATCCTTTCCCGAGCCTATTTATCACCCTCTTGCTACATACATTCCATCTATATCCTCTCCTGAAAATACCTTATCTTTGTCCGAGCCTGTTTATCACCCTCCTGCTACAGATATTTCATCTACTATAAATTATAACCAGAACCTTAGTTCTTCTGTCCCACATTCTCCACATATTAGACACTATACCCGATCTCACAAACCATCCTCTTACTTACGAAATTTTCACTGTCATTCTGCAGCTGCTTCTAGCAGTTTGACACATCCTCTTAAGGGGACTTGTTTGCATCCTTATCCTCAGTTCTTGATTATTCCAAATTCAATTCCTCTAATAAAATTTTTTTGTTTTGTTGTTCCTAACATTTCTGAACCTACTATTTTCTCTCAAGCATCTAAATTGTATTGTTAGCAAAAGGTTATGAATGTTGAGTTATAGGCTTTACAGCAAAATAACACCTGGTCTATTGTTAATCTCCCATAAGGAAAAAGTCACATTGATTGTAAATGGGTTTATAAGGCTAAATATCATGCAGATGACATTGTTGATAGCTACAAAGCCCGCTTAGTAGGGGTGTCAATATGGGTTCTAACCCGTGAGCCAACCCGGCTCACCACGGGTTCAAGCCGGGTTGGGTTCGATTTTTTTTATTTCTACCGATTATGGGCTAAAAATGAACCCGGCTCACTTAACCCACGGGTTAAACGGATTCGAGCCGGGTTATGGTGGGTTGACCCGTAACCCACCATTAATTTTAAATTTTAAAAATAATTATAATAATATACTAACTATAATTAATCATTTATTTTAAATTTTAAAAATAATTATAATACTTTAGTAACCCTAATTGATGTTATCGTGTCTTGCCTCTACCTTACATTGTTGGTTGTCACCACAAGTCAAACTCTCACTTAAACTTGTTATCAGTTGCTCGTTGCACCACTACGTTTGTTGTTGCACTTGAGTCACTTGTCTTATTATCTATCCACCGCACACTACACCATGTCCACTGTATTGC